TATTAATATATTAATTCTGTTTATATATAATTATATAATCTTATAATATTTTTTATTTAATAAATTTTGAAATAATTATCCTATATTTTTTATTAATTATTTTCTTTAACCAATAATCTTTTGGCATTATTGTCCATATGATAACCACTTGCAAAGTCTGATCACTAATACTGAATTAATATCCAAAAAGATTCATTTTCGATAAGTCTGACTTGGGATCTAAACTACGGTGTCAATGTGATAGGTATATAATATTTCTAATCAGCATTAAAGGTTGAGTAATGGTATGGTTTTAAGCTTATATCTAAAGGCACACATCGCAAGGCACTCGAAGGGCGAGGCAGCAATACTGTTTCATTCGAAACTATCTAAGGGACTGATATGTGGATCAGTTGGTGAAGGAATTACTTACCAAGCTTTCAGAGGGAAAGCTTAAAAGGGGTGTTACAGAGGTACCTCCGGATCTTTCTACAATGTTTGACCCTGAGCGGAGTGTAATGCATCTGAGCCTTACTAGAGAGGATGAGTATATCTCTAAGCCTATAGATGATTCTTTATATGTATAAATGCGAAGACACTGGAGAAATATCCGCAAGAACTAAGTTGATTATAATATATCGCATAGATGGTCTTTTACCCCTGTATCTATCCCTAACCCACTCATACCCTACATTCGCCATTTACCCTTAATTGCACCATTAACAAACGAAAAGGGCTATTTAATAATTTGATACTTTTATTAAAAGTACCTATCTGTTAGGTATTTGGTCAAGAAATGTTTTATAGTAGTTTAAATAGCTATTTTAGTTACGCCCACAGCGTTTCGTTTAACGAATATTTACTACATCAAAAGCGAATGTAGATTCTGTTGCTGAAATACACCTAACCAGGTGAGCTTAGCCGGATTAGTCCGGATTAATCCATCTAGCACCTACCTTGTAGGTAGAGAGGACACCCTTAGGTAGCCTTCGCAAGCCGACTCCCTCGAACGATAATCCTATCTAAAGTCCTTATCTATAGCGACCAAATTTCATATAGTATCCTTCCAGAGCTATCTTGAAGTTCGCATATCAATTTCTGCCCGTACCATGCATCAGATGTCCCAGATGTAACATCATTGCTTCGTCGATTAATTCCGGGGGCAGATCGAAGCGTTGGCGACGCGCGCGATTTATATCGGGGGCCGGATTGAATGGGTTTAGATCTAGACCCCCTCGGCGCCCCCTGAGCCGATTCACTCCCTCTTCGTCACCTGCGGGAGGCACGGGGCCGGGATTAGGGCGAGGTTCCGGCGGTCGGTTTCTGGGTCTGATGGGAAATAGGAAGTTTTGCCGCGGCTCTCGTTGCCTAGCGATAGGAACATGTGGTCTTGGCGGCGCGTTCATAAAGGGCATGAAGGCCCTGCCTCCCTCGTAATTAGGTGGGTTGTCGTGGTACCGACACTCTTGCGAGTGGTGACACTGGAGGAAATCTTGTTCGTCTTTGTAATACGGCTCGAAGCATAGCCAACACCATTCGTGACCACAAATACCTAGTAATTGTAAGTCAGTTTGGTGTTCTATCGTTGTTTAAGGGATTTAAGGAGATTGAAAGCTTACAGGTGACATGGTCACACCCTATGTATTTGTTGATATTCCTCTTGCATCCGGGGCATGGTTTGCTCATCTCCTTGATGTGCTTTTCGGACGCTTCATCATTCTTCCTCTGCTTACGTGTTCGCTTGTCGTATTCATCACAAGTTTCCCCCTTGTGCCACGGAACGTTGTGATGGATGCAAACATAACCTCTGCATCCGTGACACTTCGCTTTTGAACAACCCGCCGGATGTATCTGGCCTGACTCACATCCAGGGTTCAAACACCACATAAATTCCGGGATTCTTGCAAGCAAGGCCTTCGTGGCTAGCATATCATATTTATCGAAGATTTCTCGGGAGGCAAAAGCTCGGACGTTCTCAAACTTGAGTAGTTTAGGACATTCTGGGCATTTCAAACGGTCCCACGTAATTCTTTCCAAACTCGAAGCTATCCAGAGGCCAACGCAGGCCTTACAAGTAGTGGCATCATGCTCACAGGCCGCCGTAATCCGTTTCCTATTCGGCATCTCGGAGACTCTCTTCTCGTCGCCGCATACGATGCACGTCTCCGACGTAGGGACTAGCCAACTTTCCGCGCGAACGAATTTGTCCTCTATGGAACGGGGAACTTCAAAGTCGATAGTCGCCCCGGGACGAATGTGGCTAGCTCTCGTGACCGGTTTACCGTTATAGGTCAGTTTGATATCTTCGAAGTTGATGTGGCGCCGGCGAACTTTATTATCGGAATGAACCGTCGCCAATACCTCGTTCTTAAGCCAGTTCTTGAGTTTTAGAGTGTCTGCATAACCACGGCGGTTCAGGCATGGCTTATGGCAGATGTACTGTTCGTTGAACCCTTGCAGGACGAAGTAGCTGTCGACCGGTTTCATACTGATAATCAGATAACGACAGAGCCATGTCATCGCCTTGCGTACTTCCCAACTATTTCCTTCCAGCAGCCTCTGTTCCAGGCCGGCTTCTGTTTCGATCACGATTTGGTTGGCATTTTGTACTAGACCCTCCTTGGACTTGTTGGTGTCTCGTAGGAGGTTTGCTACAATCTCTCGAAGACTACCTACGGACTTTCCCATAGTAGCTTCACGAGCTATTGCTTCCCTCTCCGGCTTACGCAGCTTCACACTAGTCCCTCGCCAGACGACTCGGAACGAGCCGTCGTCGCCTTCCCGTAGCACCCTATAAAATAATAGGCGCGAATCTTTAGGGATATCGTCTCCCTCCAAGCGTTTGTTGTCGGAAAAGAATTGCACCTCGGCATCCTCTGGAATTTCTTGGGCCCCCTCCGGGAATCTCTTCTTCAGTGAGGCATGTACGTCGTGCAACTGCCAGGTCTTAAAAGTAATTTTCACAGGATTCCGCTCGGTAAAGATATCGTCAAGGTCGACAAGTTCTACCCTCCTTTTCTCCCGAGAGGAATCGCGACGTCTTGAACTTTGCGTGCGCCTATCGCTGCGATGCTGTGATGATTCCGCAGAGCGACTTGTAGAGGCCAATGGCCGGCGTTGTGGAAACATGATTGAGGTTGCGGGTAAATTAGGGATGGTAGTTGATCGTTGCTGACATGTAATAGTAATAGATATAGCTGCTCGATACAATATCCATGTGGCAGAACTGGAGTGGCTAGAGCTGATACGACCAATAAAACGAAGGAAAGAATTATCGAACGGGATAATGATTTATACGTTAAGTAAACTTCATCATCTTAAATCATTATTGAATATTAAAATGAAGTTTTAAGCGAGAGTCATAGCTTGCGTAAATCGGCGACCTATGATAATCCTCAGGCGTCTTGCGGTCTGCGGTCTGCGGGGCAAAGCGCGAGCTACATTCGAAATAGAGGTTATGTACCTTATCTCTCATCCGTGAATAGGTCGCGACCTAATGTTTCAGGTACCTAATACCTCATATTTAATTGGGCGACAACTTTGAAGCTTCCACCGCTTCGTTTGGTGGTGCGGTGGTGTGGTGGCACCAAACATTATGTGAAGCCACGTGAGACAATGCAGCATAGGTAACTATGAGCTGTAGCCAACTAGCATGCCTTGTAAGCTACCCTGAAAAGTTGAAATTAGAAAAGAAGGTATATAAAAAGAGGAAACGATATTTCAAATTATCGAGCTGGCGGGTTGTAACCATATAGAGTAGAGTTGGCAAATGGCTAGGTTAAGAATATTAGGTACCTACCTAATGCAAGCTATCTTTAATACCCGATATTCCCGTTTTGTACCTATAGGAATAAATATCTCGCTTACCTGCATGCACTAATACTCGCATAGGAGGTATATTCCTCTTACTGCAATAGGTACCAGTCTCGCTCCAACACCATCCAAATTAAGCCAGTACCTCAAGCACATGGGGGAAACTGGCTTCACGAAGTCTTGCACTTTTATAGATGAACACTTCGGTGATGTATAAAAAAAGCACTCCCACAAAAGTCCAAACGGCAAGATCGTACACCTGGGGATTGGTAATATAATATGCAGCATAAATCCTGATCATGCTCGTGTATAAGTTTTTCACGCCGTACACATGTGCTAACAACGAGTGCAGAGGAGGCGCCCCAGGGCCGCTAAACGCCCGAAGCGCTGTTGTCGGGTTATTTACATAGCACATAACGCTATAAATCGCCGCAGACAGACTATTCTAAAGACCATCTCAGATTAGGTGATTTATTTTTGCAATAAGGTACCTAGGTACCTGACTATCAAAACTTACATAGAACAAGAAGTAAGGCAGATAACCGCCGTGTTGCTGCGGGAGGATCGAAAAAAGCTTATCCATCGTGCTGAAACCAAGATAAATGTGATTAAGAAATTGGAAAAGTCCGTGGTGAGCTTTTATAAAAGAGCTAGTAATTATTAGAACATAATTCGATAAAGGACCATTTGTTTACATGATATCGGATGCGCATTCCGATAGTTAAAGTTGAAGAAAGCACCTAACTTACATGACGCTAACAAGTATTATAATCTTTGGTCCCTGTAAAGGACACCACGTTTTCATAACGAAGGAGATTTATTTCATTCTATTTAGGTAACATAGTGTCAGACAAAATGTCTGTCCGATACATATAAAATGTAATAGAATAAAATCTGTTACCAAATAACCTTTTAGTGGTATAGCGGTTTGTTCGACACATAGTCTCTCCCCTATTGATTGTATTTTGGACTGTCTTTTCACTATTGCAGGTCCGGCCCTTATGAATAGTTACGTACCTCTCAGTTCGCCTTCTCAGGACAAATTCCATCAAGACACTTACTCGCCTCGGGTTCGCGGTAACCATTTGATCCTTGGGTCATGATTCTGCATAATATCTATCTGCGTATCCAAGCTTCGTACTAATCATTTATCATAGTCGTAGGGAAAATAATACCCTTACACGACACGAGTCGTTCTCTCATGCCACTCAGTTATTAAGAAAAAGGAAATCCGTTGATTCATCCATCAGCCGATCTACGAGAATAACTTGACCTCCAGGACGTACAGCCGGCGAAAATATCTTGATCCAATTAGGCTCCCCGTCTATCTCGTCTGCTTCTTCAATAAGTTCTGCCGTGTATGTATCATAACTCGTATCGAAGCTGTAGCTCTGCAGGCCAGCAATAACCAACAACTTCAATCGTAGCCAGCGGCCCATTTCTTGCGCCCGCCTTATGATCTCGCCTTTTCCGATGCACCCGCGATCAGTGTTAATGTCGTGGCTGTAGATGCGTAGGTCAAGGAGGACGCTCTCCAGCATCGGCATCTGTGACCACGATAGCCATATAGGTGAACCTCGATCTAGGTCGATAACCATATCAAGCGCCTCGAGGTTAGTATCGTTTATCCGGGAATCGAATCCGGCCATACTACGAGCGTCAACCTCCATGAGGGTCAGCGGTGAACGAAGTACAATATGACGCAGGAGCTTAAAGATATACGGTGAGCCACTTGGCATAACTTTCTTATCGGCTTCAGGTTCTTCGTCATCATAGGGAAGAATACCTCGCGAACGTTTTCCTCTGATGGGAAACGTATCTCTTCGGTTGCCTAGAAAGGATTCCTCGGCGACATTAGGAGGAAGACTGTCCGCAGCGAGTTCGAAAACCTGTGCGCCTTCGAGACAGAGGGTCCTGATCACCTCGTTATTACACCACTTATTAAGTGTTAAAAGATTCCTATCAGGGAATTTTACAGGAAGAAAGTTATGATCACCGTCTCCATGCCCAAGGCTGGTTAAGAGACTGCCAACTTTGCCATCAATGCCTCGTGTGTATGTGACGACTCTCGTTAAATTCAAGAGGTTGTCTGATAGTGGGTCATATTGCTTACATGGATGCCAGTCAGGGACTAATAAATCTAGAGCGCATCGGGCTTTAGAATGCAGCGCTTCGGATAAAGCCCTAGAAACAATTTCGAGAGGAAGTGAGACGTTGGCTTCCGTTTTCTCCTCAGTTCTTCGTCTCTTCTTTTCTCGAGGATTATCGTCTAGGACATCGGGCTTACGCTTTCGACCCCTGAGCTCGCTGTTGAGGCCCCCGGAGCTTCTATTGTAGGGGTATACGGTATCAGCCTTGGGCAACTCGATTACCTTATATGGTGAGCGTTGGGAGCATAAGTTACTCACAGAGGTCGCCGATATTTCCTCTACATCACCGAGAAGGGGGGTATAAATACCGAGTTCGCTCTCTGCATGAACAAGCGCACGGCCTCGTCTTCGCGAGCTTTCTCCTCTTGGCGAGCCTTTTCTTCTTGGATTTTTTCCTCTTGGGCTTTTTGCTCTTCGTCTAGTTGTTCGACCGTCTTCGTTTGCCCTGACCATTTCTGTCTGCATGCGTTGCAGGTGTACTGAAACCTGCCATCCAACCATACTTTTCTCTTATTAGAAGACTTCTTATGAAACCGCGACATGCAGACTAAAGGTGTAGATGATCCGATTGTAGCCTGATCTCTTGGACGTCGACTTTCGGAGCTGGAAGATGAGTTATCTTTCCTCTGAAGCACCCGTATCGTATAGGAATGCTTGTCATTCGAAGACATCTTGGTGGTGGAATAGAAATAAATATAAACTTTCACGACTGTAGATTGGTCGTGTATGATTTAGAACTAAAAGAGCGTGGGAGCTTCCGAGATTTATATAAGCCTTTGTTCTTTACAGAACGAAGGCGCTGTTTAGGTTTGAAGTACATATGTCTCGCACAGTCGTAGCCTTAGATAACAAGTTCTTAGTAGAAGTTTCCTTACATCACTTCGTTAGATCCTAGTGCGGGAACTACTTCCTCGTTTTACTTCCACGCAGGGTAATACTGTTCTGGAAAACTCCTTAGAAAGACTGATTTCCTTTCTGGAGGGTGACTGCAGTTAAACCAATTCCAGCTGAAGAAAGTGATTATTCAATTATATCTGCATCCTGGAGCTCTTACTATGGCAATTGCACTATAGTTACTTGACTGCCTCCTAAGGTAATTCCCGTCCACATCTTCCCGGTACTAACACAACTCAAATATAACGCACATATTAGGTATTTAAGGTAATTTAATCGCGGTGATTTCTCACGCTTAGCTCCCCGAAAATCCCAGCGGCTACTAGTTAGTTTCGGATATACCAAGACTTCACATCAATAGCTAAAGCACTACTGCGGTGTAAGGATGTTCGACACTTGTAAATCTCCTAGGTAGACAAGACTAAATTTCAGAAGCCATCGTATCCAAAAAGCTACCCAAGGAAGAATAAATGAAGACGGGTACTTCTGGGTTATCTTATTCTAGTCTGGCTAGTTCTCGAAACGCTCCATGCTTCTAGAAGTTTTGTTACAGTTGGGTGTGAGTGCTAATATATAGTTGTTGGCTTTGTCCCTTGATCATTTTGCAACTAATAGTAATAGGTTTTATACTATTCCCAACAAAGGAAACGCCATTCAAAGATCAGACAACGGTCGCCATGAACAATGTCATTACCGAATATAATTCATTGATCCTTAACCTTTAGCGATATCAACTTCTCGCACTGTAAACCTACTATCCAACACCTACATGACTATATCTGTTTCTTGTAATGTAGGAGAAACAAGTATTATGGTATAATATTTTAGCTTGTCACTCAGTGAAGAGTATGTTTCATCTGTATTGTCATACTTATCGACGTATATATTAAGATGTTTGCTGGTAGATAGAATTTCCCTGGCAAATTCTGTCAATTTTTTAACATTATATAGGTTCGTAGTAAAACTGGCACGACTGCTTTCATCTAATATGTAGATAAGACATAATTATACACTAAAATCATCTGGTTATTATTTAGGGCGTAGTGGCTATAAGATGCTTAAGAATGTTTACCGGCTTCGCGTCTCTGAATGTAACTTCTTGGTAAGAAATATGGAGTCTACTGGATTTGAACAATAAACCAATGGGAGTGGTTCCGAAAGTGAATGAAATGGAGAAGCTGCCACCATGCGTTTGATTTTCTGGCTGTGAAATATACCTGTTACAGCCCTACGCAACTAGGATATACCGTGATGGTAACGACTACGCACGGACCTTGTTCTAGCTTATTCGATGTTAGCGATCCGTTTAAATCCCATCTGCTATGGATTCGGGTTTACATAGGTACTATGTTAAGCCGAGGGAGGTAGTGGTGAAGCTATAAGATATATGAAACAGTCTGTTAAAAAGGCCTCGTAAGATAAGTGAAGTAGTGTTTTTGCTAGAAAGCTAAGTTGAAGTATTCCACAAATTCATCAGGATGGACAAGGATCTATATCAACCACCTAACCTCTTAAGGCACACAGTTTGCCTCTCATTGGCTTGCTCGGACTCGAGCCTTGTCGACCCGCTGGACTGTACCTAACGCGATCCATCTAGCAGGGATACTCCGCGTTTTGAGATATCAATCACAAACTTCAATTAGGTCGGCATTCACGGCACTGGTGTCATACAAAGAAGGGCGACTCGCATTTGGTGGATCGCTTAGGCTGGAAGTCTAACAAAATACCGGACGCGCATCTTTCGACTTATTCATAGAAATGCCTCGGAAAGGGAGTCGTAAAGTCAGGACAGGCTGTCTAACCTGCAAGTAGGCTCTGCTTGAGTAATCACCAACCAATTACCCAGCAGCCCTGATTAACATCTGATAGAGCACGCAAGGTCAAGTGTGACGAAGGCAAGCCACACTGTAACCGTTGTATTACCACTGGGCGCGCGTGTAGCGGCTATTCCGCTAAACCGAGCTCGGGACTGCTCTGGAACCGCCCGCGTCAGCTATTCCAGAGTATAGACAGCGCCAGTGAAGGGAGAGCCCTGCATTTCTTCTGCGAGAAGACGGCCCAGTTTTTATCAGGGGCTACCGACCCGTACTTCTGGACCCATTTAGTTATGTAGTTTAGCGATTTTGAACTAGCTGTCAGGCATTCTGTCATAGCTATAAGTTCGTTGTATGAACAGTTCCAAGCCGAGGGCGAAAAGTCCCACTCAGGGGTTCAGCTGAGAGATAATAGCCTTGCGCTACAGCATTATAACGCTGCTATTCGCGAACTAAAGACAACGGACAACCAACCCCTAGTACTATTAGTCTGCATTCTTTTCATATGCATCGAATTTTTACAGTCTAACAAAGAGGCAGCCATCCAACACTGCAAACATGGCATTGCTCTGCTTGACAATGCTAATTACTCCTGGGCGAGAGAACACTTATTGCCAGTGTTCAGGCGTCTAAGTTCTTTCCCTTTCTTCTTTGGGGCGGGGTCTATCGACTTTCCCGACCTTGTCTCCGTAAATACCCCCTTCCAACATCCTTCGACGACTATACCGATGCGGCGTCAGCAATGGATTGTTTACAAAGTCGGACATTACGTGTTACACGATGCGCAGATTCGTACCGTTTCGGGAACTTACGGTACAAGACAGTGTCGTCCGACTTGCTGGAAGTGCAGAAGGTAGTTGTAATCTCTTAGACGAATGGCAAGTTTTATTCAAAGGCCTCGACAACACTAGGCTTTGTTATGCGGGATAAACAGGATGCGATCCTCATTCGCAACGAATTCATCCCTGCCTGACACCCAGTATAGGCAATCCACCCCTTCTCCTAAGCAAGGGTGACACCTTGCACGAATAACGAAGAGTCTGATTTCCCAGAGATACCCTAGTTTTAGCTTAGTCAAAGATTTGGCAGTGCCGGTTGTATTATTAGAGAATAGGTTACCTCAGTTGATTTAATCGCTAAGGCTGCACATGGTATAAGTCACCTTTCGTATTTTACCCTCTGATCTTCTATAAAACGATCTGAAACAGACGAGCGAGAGAGCCTAAGCCTAAAAATTACAAATCAGGGTGTCAAGCTATAGGCTCGGTCTCGGTTACCTCGCCCGAATATGCACAGACTTTGCACTGACACGGACAAAGTCTCATTCTCAGATTATAACTTTGCCATCTTAGTTTCAACTTCTGCCTCTTCGCTCACACTTGGATCACAAACTTAGCCATGTGGTCATTGCCTTGGTTATACCCATAATATAAATACCCATCCCAAATACACCCGTGCCATACTCCTGCACATCCAAACCACATCCTACCTTAACTGTTCAATAATTTCGACCACATTTATGGTTACATATTTGTCGAAATAGTATTACCTTAGGTTTGTTTCCTTGTCCATCTACCTACGCGCCAGATTTACCATCCTATCAGTATATGTTAATAAGCAGAACGACAAACCAACTCGTTCAAGGTAAGTTCCCTAGAAGTGATCCGCTCTCCACCTATCCTACCTTACTTGTCCACTTCTTTTAAATATAGTTTCTGGTTATACTATGTGTTCGAACTATATATTGACAATCTGTCTTCTTTAAACGGATAACCTTGATAGATGCATTACGATCTCCTTTCACACAGTGGAATCATACCTACATCTATTCACCGCCACAAAAGGCGCCACGATGCTTCGCCACAGAGCTCACCGTCTCTCCTTAGTCTAACGCGAATAAGTATGGCGTTATCTCCCCAGTGACGGAACAAAACAAAGCATCCTCCTATCTTCCTCTATTCTTACCATCCTTCTCATCCATCGAAGTAGGTTAGAAGGCGTCAACACTATGGCACTAACACGTCAATGGCCTCGTACGCTTTTATTTGCGGTGCTGGGCACTGCTACGGCATCTGAATTTCAAATTCCTTTGGTGTCGCAAAAACCGCTGGAAGCAGGAAACGCGCTTGTCAAACCGTTAGTCAACACTGAAGATCTGCAAGCCAGCATCAAGATTGAGAACCTCGTCGAGCGTGCCAAGAGTCTATACGGTCTTGCAGAGCTTTCAGAACCGGAGTATGGACACCCAACTCGAGTCATCGGAAGTGAAGGTATGTATTGATCTAAATTCGCACGCATACGAATAGCGCGTCTGACTCTTGTTATAGGCCATAGCGCTACCTTGGAATATATATATTCTGCCTTAGGGAAGCTTGATGGTTACTACACTCTCTCGAAGCAGCCGTTTCCGGCTGTTATGGGCAATGTCTACGAATCCCGTCTAGTTATTGGCCATGATGTTCCCAAGTCTGCTTTTCCGATGTCGCTTACTCCCCCAACGACTAACAAACAGCCTGTTCATGGCGATCTTATCTTTGTAGAAAACGAAGGATGCGATGCATCTGATTATCCATCTAACGTAACTGGCAATATTGCTTTTGTCCTTCGTGGCGAATGCTCCTTTGGTGCCAAATCGGAGCTCGCCGGCAAGGCGGGTGCAGTGGCAGCGATCGTGTATAACTACGCTTCTGGGCCGCTTTCGGGTACACTGGGGAGTCCCACTCCCGACCATGTTGCTACGTTTGGATTGTCAGGCGAGGACGCCGGTCCCATACTTGAGAAGTTAAAGAAGGGCGAAGTCATTGACTCTATCGCATACATCGACTCGGAGGTTAAGAAGATTGAAACCACGAACATCATTGCTCAGACTGTCGAAGGGGACCCAAACAACTGTGTCATGCTTGGAGGCCATAGCGATAGCGTGGCCGAGGGTCCGGGAATTAATGACGACGGCTCGGGTAGCCTTACTCTCCTCGAAGTTGCTACACAGTTGACCAATTTTAGCGTCAACAACTGCGTGCGTTTCGCTTGGTGGGCTGGAGAAGAGGAGGGTCTTCTTGGCTCGGACTACTATGTCGAGGTCTTACCGAAGGAAGAAAACCTAAAGATCCGCCTTTTTATGGATTATGACATGATGGGCAGTCCAAACTTTGCCTATCAGGTCTATAATGCGACAAATGCTGCGAATCCTGAAGGTTCAGAGCAGCTAAGGGATTTGTACGTGGATTGGTACGAGGCGCAGGGACTTAATCACACATTTATTCCCTTTGACGGACGTAGTGATTACGATGCTTTTATCCGTAACGGTATCCCTGGTGGAGGTATTGCTACGGGGGCCGAGGGTCACAAGACAAAGGAGGAGGAAGCCATGTTTGGTGGTAAAGCAGGCGATTGGTATGATCCTTGCTACCATCAGTTATGTGACGATGTTGGCAACGTTAATTCAACCGCTTGGCTTGTCAACACGAAGGTCAGCCTCCTTCCCCTCTTCGATCGCGCTGTCTAAGTACTATGTTGCTAACCTTCCTCACAGCTCGTTGCTCACTCCGTTGCCACCTTTGCAGCGTCGTTTAAGGGCTTCCCCGAGCGGTCGAACACCACCGTATTGGAAGCCAATGAACAGCGTGCCCAATATCACGGACATCGACTTGTTCTATAAGTGTAGTTCGTCCGTGGATAGAATTTCTGACATTTAATCACTAGAATTAGGTACTTAATCATAAATTGTCTAATGGTTGGAGCCCCTAGGGCGTTTAAATATCGAATCGCATTTATGTTCCCTTTGGCTAATACGGCACTTACTACAAATACGAACCAGACGTGATGAACTTACATTGATACAGCGCGAAGCTACACTAACAATCGTAGACGTTGCCCGCCTAAAATGGGAACATGGAAGCATTGCACAGATCGGACTGAAGGTGCTACAATATTGTACACGTAGTAAATAACTTCGTAATATACCTATGTACACTGATCTGTGCGTCTAGCAAGTTTCTATATATGTTAAGTAGGTTTGATTTACTAACGGGATACGTTAGGTAGATTAAATTCACGTCAATGCGGACTTCGAGACAGCCCAATGGCACAAAATTCGCCATCCGAAATAACCATACAACCGGTTAACAGAGCTAACAGAGACTCGTAGGCTTCAAGGCGTGATATTACGAGTAACTCAAAATACCAATGTATCACAGGAACCGCAATTCGTACGGCGTGTAAACGTGGTGCCAATTCTCTCTCTTATACTTCGGCGTGGAATATAGTCCGCTGTAAGAACAACACCGTTGTCTCACGGCGTAACTCTCACACAGGTCACCTCCCGTCTAAATCAGTAGTCCCAACAATCACGCCCGGTTTCAAAAGATGAATTTGATCGAGTCACTATGAATCACTGAAACTCATGTCAAGTAACCCCTCTTACCAAGATGTTTCCAAATTGCTTCTGAAAGTGAGTAGATTCCCCACGGCGCTCTTTTGAAGACCAACACATATATAAACCTGTCGGGACCCCCATAGCTTTTTTTTCTTACTTCCTCTTTGACCTCCATATCCCCATGGCAAATCTTAAGAAATACTCACCTTCCTCTAAATGAAATGAGGATGCGTTCAACTATCTCTATCACGATCGTTAAGGCACCAACTGTCTTAGTGCTTCTCGGGATCTGCCGAGTAGCTCTAGGGACTATCACGACAGTCATTTTGCCCACGGAGACGCAACCATCGGGGGCTCCTGCTTCGGTTGGCCAGGCAGGTGACTTCGTATTTACCGTGATTAATTCTCACACGGCGGCTGTTTCTACACTGCATCAAGTAGGCGCTGGCAGTCCGACAGCAACTAGAGGGGATAACCCGGCGAACACTATCGCGCCAGGAGATACTATTACATTTGCAGTCCCAACAGGGGTAAGTTGAAACCCAGCGCAGACATACCCCATCCTCTACTTTGTTTAGTTTTCAGTATATTTCGTGACTATCGTCTCCGAAAAGTCACAACAAATCAAAGAGTACACATGCTTTTTAATACATAATTCTAATGTTAATCACCCAGTGGTTTGGGCGACTGGCTATGTATGAGAAAGACTTTGATGTTGTAGACCGAGCCACATTGTTGGAAGGGTCCTTCTTCATGAATTCTGGCCATGCAATTATGGCGATGGATGTCAGCTATGTGTAAGAGTTATTACTTGGAACTTTGATATTAGTTCTGCTAACCGCGGTTTAGTGACGCTTTCACCGTCCCAGTGGTTTGCGAATGCGATGATCAAGTACAATTGGGCTGCAACCTTAACTTGCAAGAGATATGCCCGGTTCGTCACCATTGAGGCAATACTATCAGTTTTCTTAGTAGCTGATTCATGACCACAGGAATACCTTCAGCTGAATGGGAAGACATGCGCAAACCCATACAGAGATGATCCCCAGCATCCACCTGGCCCCGAGAACATTTTTCAGGACTGTCGAGGCATGGCCTACACATATCCTACAGATGACACTGCTACCAAGGTAGATCTCCCTGGTTGTAGTCGTAGCACTACCTGCTGCATAGGGACCGCCTGTAGGCCTCACCCTGGGCAGTTAAAGTGTCCTGTGAAGGATGGCTACGCAGAAGAGTGCGCTAAAGCTCCATGATGAAATTCGTGGTTGTAGCGCTAATATGTCACGGTCGCTGAGGCTTATTTAGGTATGTACTCACATATTGATAGCATACTTGAGGGGTGGTGTAGTGCGAGGCTACCCGAAGCATAACGCAGCATACGAGGAGCACGTTAATAATATATTATCTACTTGGAGCAACATCTCGTAACTCGCCTATTGAATGTACAGGTGTAAGTATGCTCTCGGATCGTCTTGGATGCTTCAGTGTGTAACAGCAATCCACGCAGCTCCATATCAGGATTATAACTCTTAGGACGCTAGTTCAGTCAGCACGGCCATAACCCATTCATCAGACCTTGGTCGAAACTTACCATATAGCGATCGTAACCGTAAGAGATAGGGAATCGGTGCCTTCCCAGGGGTACGGCGCGTCGGCGGCGGTCTCATGGATATTGCTCAAAATAATCAAGAAGATTGAAGGAATCGCCAAGCAAAGAACCAACAAATCTTCGCAGATTAAGCAAGACGGGGAAACACGGGGTATGGTACGGGTCGAGTCAAGTAACCCGGTCCTATATAGACAAGTTAGTAACGACTTCTCCGAGTAAGGATATATGAATTTCGGATATATATCAAGAGTCTGGTAAAAAATAGAAATTACGACAAATGGATTTGAGAGGTTTCTTACAGCTCGGAGCCGTCAACCAAGAGTGCAATCACAGCCTAAGGTTCAGATTTAGCATCGATATTCATATTCCGCGTGGTATTTTTGATGCCTTACCACAGAGACCGAAAGCCCCAGCGTCTTTCCCCAGTTCACACTTTCGTAGATAAGATTGGCCAGTAATACCACAGAGGCACCTAAGCCAAGAATTCGCGCGATCGCGCCCGTAACGGCCGCCGCTCTTGGCGCACGGGGCCTTGTCATGTCTCTCGAGGGCGAACGAGAAGGACAAACAACATGAAAGTTGAAGAGCAAGAAAGACAGAGTAAGATGTTTTTGTAATGTTACATATCCCGTAAACTAAAAGAAACCCCTAGTAAGAGCTCATTAAGGGTCCCGTACGGGAGCTGGGATTCAGGATCGTTGCATATTACCCGTCCATTCGGATGCAAAGGTCGCCTTGGCGGCTAGTCATCAGCACAGCGGGACGGTTCAGGCTTAACTGTTATAGTAAGAGTATTCGCGGCCTTCTTCGGGAACGATTTCCCATGCCGTTCAAGCAATAGACTATCCGCTGCTAAATAAATTTATTTTATCTTTATTTTCTCAAGTATCTGGGTAGGTATTTATAACAGGCACTCATCTTAAAATCGCTATAAGTGTCTATGCTACGACAACAGTGTCACAAGGCACTGAGCGGTACATGATTAAATAATAGACACCTTCCGAAGATACTAGGAAAGGTGATTTAACTGAAACCGAAGAGGTATAGAAGAACCATCTCCGAGCAATGAGAAGTCGACTCCGTATTGTCCCGAGTAACATCATAACTTACATGATGGTAACCCTAGGGATCAACGATAACTTTACGGGAAGCAATAGTTGAAAGAAAGATGAATAGCAAAATAAAGATATAATAACTGTCAGTTGATAGAATCAAGTACTGAAGTATCTTGCCTGCTTTTAAGAATGCTTCGTATTTTACATGTGATAGCATGATAAAATTATAACTTGTAATTAAACAAGGTATGCTGTTAACCCACTTTGCTCAGCTACTTCATGTTAGGTACCTGCAGTTGGAAGCGGGGAACATTAGGTCCTAAAAAAGCTATCCACGTGTGGGGACCTATGATCGGGTTACCTTATGTAAGCACATGCTAAGGGCAGGTGCAGAGGTGCACCTAACAATGATATCAGCGACAAATTATTAGAGACAATAGTTAATAAACTTGCACATCCTCTTATTCTATGCCGTAGCCTTACAAGATCAAACCTCAAAGCAACTTAGATATCATACATCTAACATATAAAGCTCCAGTCAATCTAAATTTTATCACATCCACTCCTTCAGTGTCGTTTATCGAAGCATGGCATAGCGTAATATCCATCAAAGCCTTCCGCAGTCATCGCAGGCAACTCACTCAAGATGGCATCTTCTCCAGACCAGACGTCCTCCGATGAAGCGACGAACAGCGATACAACTGCGACAGCGCCTCAGATTATCGATAGCCATGAACGCACAAGTCGCCACACCTTCTCTGGTCCTCCACCGAATACCCGTCGATGTTTCATCTGCCTCGTAGACGAGCCTGAGGCTACCCTCCCCACCGACTGGTCGACACCATGCACATGCACGCTAGAAGGGCATCATGAATGTCTAATGGCTTGGATCACAGACCTAGAATCTCAGTCCAAGGATATTAAGTGTCCCATCTGCAAAGCGCCCGTCATAGTTACTGAGCGATGGGACCTTGCCACATACCTGGATAACTACCTGAATATCACATGCTCAAGGTGGTCTCCGCAGATTTTATTCGGATTTCTTGCTTCGGGCGCGCTGGTGAGCAGTTCTATTTATGGTCTCAAGGCTCTCGATTTGTTCGCGGGCCCTGAAGCTACGATGGACTTCCTGTTCGGTACTGAGGACCCCGTTCTATTTGGTCTCATACGTCTCCCCGTTCGCGTAACGCATAGGAGTCGCATGCCCCCTATTAACTTAATTAACTTTGCAATATTACCATTCATCGCCCCAGGACTGGTACTCAACCGATTTCGTTTACAGAGTGTTAGTTTATTTCCGACTTCAGTACTGGTAAGCAGCTTTCACGTATTGCCATGCATCAGTCTAGTTGCTAACAAGATTTCGCTTACGAAACTAATAGTATGCGACGTTCGTAGCGCTCATTGACCACGCGGACGAGTATTTCACGTGGCCTCCATCCCCGCAACGAGCCTTAGCCATCTACCCAGCCCTCAGGAACTCCTACTTCCAACTCCACAGCACAATCTCCAAAACCCTTGAGAAAAGATGGAAAGAACAAGCAAGGAAGTTGATGGCCAGTAGGACAGGCCAGCAGCCGGCTGCAATACCTTCGAACGAAGAACCAGTGATTAATGGCGACAACTTCCTCGACTTTGAAATCGATATTGCGATAGCCGTTGCTGATGAAGAGGAGGCAATCGGCCATAGACCAGACAATCGTCGAAACGGGGTGACACGGGGTAGACCACTCGAAAACTTCTTGGCCGGGTCATTACTTTTCCCAGGCGTATGTTACGGAATGGGTGAGATATTGAGATTTGTGCTTCCGTCGCGATTTGTTACACGACCGTCATCTGGCTTTTGTACAGGTCTGCTCCAAGAGCGGTGGGGACGAAGCCTTGTCGGTGGGTGCTTATTTGTCGTGCTAAAGGACGTATTCTTCCTATGGGTTAAGTACAGGAAGATAATGAATTGGCCATCGAGAAAAATTAAGAACGCGGAGAATCGAAACCGACGTCGTTAGTGCAGAGACATAATAGCGATACCTATTAGGGAAATAAGCCGGCGTTTTTAGGGAGGATTCAAGTTATGTTATGGATTACGGTATTCGGTTATTGAGGCATATGCGTATGCGTAAGTTATAGAGATGTAAGCTCTACCCATGGTGCAGACTGCGTAATATTTGTGTACGATATCAGGTAATTGCCCTTCATGCTTGGGACACGTATGAGATACGGTCTACCCAAACCACCCATAATCTTACTCCTAGTTCCATTCTAAGAATCTTTACTTACATTTAGTTACATCAGGTAGCCAACGTATGTCCATCCGCGAGGGCCAAGGTAAGGCTGGTTTGATATGACGTTGGCCAGATCCACGATACTTAAAACCCTAGTAATAATTTGGCCAGGTATTTGCAAGACGAACTTTCTGTTGATCTCTCAACGAAATTACTAACGATGGATGCTTTTAAGTGACAGTTTACCTAGATGAAGGACTACGATGGTTTTATCATCAAATACAATTTTGTTAACTGATCAAATTACCAATTACCAAGCATCTCAAATAGCAACGTGTTATCAAAGTAGTACATATATCTATGCTTGGTAAGGGTCATGTTAGCATCATGCGGCACAGAAGGAATAGTTCGCATTTGCTAGCACCTAATATCTGGCCGAATCCAGCCATGTTGGCTTGTTAGCGGACGACTTATTTTTTATAAGTCCCCAACTCAACCGTCCGTCCATTTTCTTAAAGAGGAGTAACAATTAACTCCCAACTAAGGCTTGACGACTTATTACCAAAAAGTTTATGTCCGTCTGCTCTGATATCTGGCCTCTCACCAATTCTTCGGTAAGGTAAGAGAGGTTAAAACCGAATATGTCTTCAAGACGAACCCGCAGGACGGACCAGGATATCTTCACACGCCCGGGTCCGGAAGCCGTGACTTATGACCTCTCGGTGCGCGATCAGGCCACGATCCGGGTCCCGGTTGGCTCTGCATGGACATCCGGACCCCACTGGCATAACTCGCATACAGAGTTTCTGCAGGTACTAGCCGGTCGCGCGCGCGTCACGCTGTCCGGTCGGATATTTTGCGTCGGTCCCGCTGACGGTGTGGTCACGGTGCCACGGGGCGCGGTACATGAGTGGCGCCGCGCCGACCGGGAAGAGGACGGGCTGGGGGAAGCTGGACAAGAGACGGGGGCGGATACGGAGGAGTTGGTCGTGAGAGAATGGACGGAGCCGAAAGACGGTGCCAAAGAGATGTTCTTTCGGAACTTGAACGGGATTATCCTGGATGCTACCGCGGGGGGTGCTTGGGGCGAGGCGCTCGTAACGCTTGAGCTGTGGAATTTGTTCTGGAGAGCGGATAATTATCCGGTTACCGTGGGCGTGAGGTGGGTTGGTGGTGTGGCTACTAGGGCTGCGATGGGGGCTGCGGTTGCGATGGGGTGGGTGTTGGGACGGCGGGGGGTGTATGAGGAGTATGGCTCGAAGTGATTCTATCTTGTGGGTATAAGGACTGCTGGGTATGGGTTTATTTTCATTGGGATATGAGGCGTTAGGCGTGCTTTTGAGGGTATGAATTAAGATTTAATGTTCTTTACCCGATAGTTGGTGATGCTATGCGTAATGTATCTAGCTCGATATCTCTCATGCTACTAGGTGCAGCCTAGCCTATTACCTCCCTCGCCGTGTAGGCTTGTTATCTTCATCGACACTTTGACTCTCCTGCCTTTCCGTCTTTCATTCTCCAGTCTGTGGGTTAAATTCAAGGAGATACAGTATTTATATATCAGCTTCACCTGTATACTCGTATATGATCTCTAAGTTTGGCTCGCCATTGTTCCCCATAAACTCCAACTCTAACTTCAGTGCCGTCCCTGTATCTAAGTCGCTGCGAAAACTGATAGTGAAGGGCTCTATACAAGCTGCTCGTCTACAATACTGGTCAAGCTTTACGGAGCGGAGGAAAGTCATAGGCGTTCCGTCGACATCGACACCGCAGATTTTCAGCTGATGTCGGTTTTCACCCATCATCTCCATCTGCATAGTCAGGCGGCGGCGGAGAATGAATTGTGGAATGGGAATGTCGAGTTTGGCCATAACTCGAGTCATCAGCTCTAGGGGAGATAAAGTACCGCGAATATATTCCTTCCCGCAGTCCTTACAGTACTCGCGGTTATTATTGCCATGGAGCTCGGATATCCTATCCTAAAACCAAAATTACTATAAACTATAGACTATACGCATCTTATCAAGGCAGATATGCCATGTTATAAACTTACTGGTAGGATTCCACTCTTCCGGTGTAAGGCATCGCAGTTCTGGCTAACCAGATACTTCAGTAATACCCCTCTATTCTGCAGCTCAACAAGAGCCATATGCGTAGCAGTTGGTACAGCCTAGAGGGTGTTCACCGCACTCGGCCGCTGTCTTCCCTGGGCCATGAGCGTCCAGACGCCTTCGGTGCCGCGGAAGTCGGGAATACCTAGTGTCTACGTAAGATTTAGACCGGACGATGGCCGCATAGTAAGGCGGTGGAACTAACCGGCTGAAGTAGAGATCCCGGCTCCGGTAAAAACGATGAAGTGCTTGCTCTTCTTTATGTGCTCCGCGAGAGCCTCTGCCTTCCTATCGACTACATCGATATCTTCTTGGCGCTCCTCCACGGGGACTTCGGGTGCGGTGCCGGCCATGGCTATATTTGAGGGAATTCTAGGAATATGTGAAGTTAAATAATAATATCAAAGTTAAAGTCAGTAGTTGGTTTTGTGTAAGTGTCTATGTGGGAGAATCGTGTCCTCGAGTCATAGATACGGTACTTAATTATCTTCAAGGGATATTCAAGTGATATTCAAGGGATATGATTGGCTAAATAACCTTATAGCCTTCCCATAATAACCTCACTTTACAATATGATTAGATATTAGATCAACTGTGTAGCTCGTTGGCACTTGAGAACATATAAATACCACGTGATAATAATCCTAGGCAGATCTAGGCAGCAGCGCTCGCATATACTTAGGTAGTTTAGTTATTATTACCTAGAAGAAACCCTCCAATTCAGTCTCTTTCTACGTTAGAGAAATAAGTCTCGATAATTGCCTTAGATAGATAGTATATAAGAGTGAAAGCAGGGTGCTATACTGTTAATTGTTGACTGTGTATAATACTATTGACGATATATTCCTATTACGTTTAGTTGCTTTAAATCTTATAAGGTACATAGTTGCACATTTTGCCATTTCTTGTTGGTTTTATTAAGTTTCCTTATTAAATATGGATGGCTGTAATACATCTTGTGTTGAAGGCTTCTAGTTTATATAAAGTACCTCATATTAATGTTAAAAGTAAATCTTCCCGCAACTTAGTTAGTCTTGGTCTTGTTTTACTACTAACTCGGTAATGGGCTCTTCTTGATACCGATATTTGGCCGTTTTGCGTGGTACTATTATTTGTGTCCTGTGATTTTATATATTTTCTCTCCTTTATGGAATAGGCAAGATGAAGTTTCTCCGTCCAGGAACTGCCAATGTAAGGGATACAAGTAAGGAGAGGACATAAGTTTGATAGAATTGCAAAGAGCTATAGCCCTAACTATAATTGGTTCACTGATAGGATTGCGAGCTCCCCTCTTAGATATTAGTTATCTAATGATCTCGTAGTTGAGGTATGGCTGAAGAATGTCGACCCCCACTATAGAAGTAATTTGAATACCCGAATTCTTGTCTATCTGATTATAAATCTTCGGGCGAGAGGATGATACCGCTTACCAGCTGCCGTATTAATCATCTCGATCATATGAGCCATCTGATACACAATGATTCCTCTAATTTACCCCTTTTCCACGTGCTATTGAAGACACAGCAGCGAGGCTAGGATAATATGCAGGAATTAAACTACGGCAATGCAAGTAATGCAAGTAGTAGGCGCGTGACCTCAATGTTGTAAGAATGCATGCGTATAAGATGTGTAAATATATCACCTAGTTAAATTGAATAAGATGTTAATCTTATTCTGCAGATCTGGTGATGTCTGCTGATGAGTTACCTTATAGAGAGGGTGGTAGTGGATATGAATACTACCTACGGACTTCACCGTAATCGATAGCGGTGTGAAAGCTGCTGTCCTGCTTGTAGGCCTGTCGATTGCTGACCGAAACCGGTACCGAAGTTGAAGTCGTAGGCGCTCAGCCACAGCTTGTCATTACATAAGATGACAAGTCTCGTGCCGACGTCTGCATGCCGGCGTTTATGTAGGTAGTAAGACGAGTAATCAGCACGTTACTGATAAAGCATTGCTCAGCAGAGCCGCGAATCTAGACCGCCGTGCACGAGTCCTGAGTCAGCATAGGTATTAGGTGAGATAGTATAATAGCTTTTTTATAGTCTTAAAGCTTTAATAGTTGTAGTTGAAGACAACGATGATCTCAACGATGATCTTCAGTTAGCGTCAGCGTCGAGGCTGAGATCTTACCAGTCAATGTGACTATCAACTAGCGGACCAAACTCGGCTAGACGGCGGTAAATGTCAAGCCTGAGATAAGTAGTGATGGGAACCCGCAGTATGATATATCACAATTTCCATCGTATCTTAAGACCGGACATTACTGCACCTACATATGCAGATAAAACTACCGAGATGATTGGATCGGGTAACCGGTGGGCTTTCTCTTAGTCGCATCTCCGAGGAGGGACGGGTAGATAGGCGGATCGATGATCGGTTGATATTCGTGATGAGACAATCGTGCGCGGACGGGACTAATGTGGATTGATAGTGAGATGTATCTTATGTAGGTATTCATTAGACTGACGCATAATAGTAGAATTATAGGTCACGCGTAATACTTCTACGCTTACTTCGTAGGTAGGTACGTTATTGACCCCATCGGAAGTAAGCTGTGATTATGTCCTTGAGTTCCGCGTCGTATCTACTTGCAAATGGGAATATGTATAGGTAGAAGTTTGATACGGGCAAAATACGGGCAGTACGAGGGTTTGATTGTCGGTTACAGCATATGTATACTTGTACCTGCCATGTTGTTTGTAGGCCCTGAGGTCACCGCTATTGTTACTGTATTTGTACCACCTACTAAGGTTCGCCTACATTTTTAGTAGGTACCTCCTACACATGGTACTGGTACCGACGTAACCTCCTAAAAATTCTATGTACGGCAGCAAGCAGCTACCCCCCACATATCTCTCCCGAACCCCTGGCTCTTTCACCACTGGCAATTGGATCCGTCCGGTCGGGTCGCAAATCATTTTACAGTTTACACCTACGTACTTTAGGTAAGTACCAGTCAAGTTAATTCCTCGCCCATTTCTTTTTTTTCCACCAACAGTTTCCAGTACCAAATGCCGCAACTTAATCAATAATACATATATGACCCTTTTCCGGCGTCGTGGAAACACCAATCTATCTGTTTTCCGTTGTCTTACTCCCGACACGTGTTCTGGGCACATCGGCACAACCCTGCGAGAGCACAACCCTGCGAGACGTTTGTGGCCAACCTTTTACAAATACGTTAACGTAACCGCTGTGAACAAAAGCGCGGCAAAACCACAACGGTCCAGTCGTGTTACGTTCGAGCTACATTCCCGAACAAGACTGTGGTGCTAATAAGACCATCTAGTTTCCGATATACATAGTCCTTGACTCACTCATCCCACTCACTTTACATAGGTACACACCGAGAAGACAAGTCAAGGAGTTGGGGGCTGTCTCGGTCAGTCCTTGCGCGGTACCTACCAGCATAGGCAATCGAAATTTCCACCAAATTCAATTGTCAGCATTGGACGTTGTCTTGATAGGAATACGAACACGGCCCGTGATCGTTCGCGCATTAATCCCTGTCCTCTGCTCTTCCCTGTCTCTTGCGCTTGTTAGCTGCAAATTTTTTTTTTCTCTTCCTCTCTCACTCTCTCTTCACACTGACGAGAGTTCCGATTAAGTTGACGTGTCACCGCGCGACAAGTTCCTGCAACTGGCCATGTGGACTCATCAAACTGCTCGGTTTGTTTAACGGTAGTAGGAGGACCACAGAAGATATTTGTCCCACAAAGAGCGCTGGCATCTTTCCAAGTGGACGATTCGGCCTTGGGGTAAAGTCATGCGTCCCCTGTTCCCCTGCCCAGTGCCAATCCCATCTACTGACTTGACAAGCCGGCAGACTAACCAGTGGCGTCAAATGGCTCGCCTTAGCGCGATCCACGTTGCCCGTGTATGTTGGATTGCTGGGTCGAATGAAATGAAATAAAAAGACACCAAAATCAGCCCCAAACAATACTCTTGGCTCGCGAATAGGGCATTCCGCCCGTATTTGGGTCTAACTTACATAGTGGTAACTGCCCAGTTGCGTATCTCTGTTGAGTTGTTGAGTCGGCGTCAAAGAACTCCCTTCCTCTTCTTCCCGTAACAGTTTGCTCTCAATTTATATGGTCTTTTTCTTATGAGGTACAGTTTCAGCTTGTACAATGTGCGTCGCACACCGCTGCGGCTACGGAAATAGACGTCGTGCTGTGATACTTGTGGCGGCTTGGCGGCACAGATTTTGAACCCTTGGGAATGGCATGGACTCCTTGTCCCATGCGGCTCAATGCTGGTCGATGCTATGTTTTCCCCCTTCCACCCCATGTTCTTATCTAGTGCCGCGATGACCGGTTACTTTAGCCGGGTGTCCCGAGACGAGCTTAGTGCCGCTTCTAGACTTTATTTCGCCTTGTTTTGGAACCCGCGTGATATGAGTATTGCAAACCTGGAAATTAGACGGTGCAGATCTCAGGGAACGAGCATCGGCGCGGGTCCCCTTAGAAGCTTAATATGCTAGCATTCGTCTAGTCTTTATTTCGTTCCACATTAAGTCATGTGTCTCGCTTCGTCTAAACGTTCTTCCTTCGTTCTGCTGGTGCTTAAGTCGACGTCTAACGATACGCAAGGCATAACCTTGGAACTGGGCGAAGAGTCGTAGACCTAGGCCTTTGCTGGTCTTACCCTGTCAGCCAACCTCCGACTTGGTTCTTACAGTCTTGGTTCTTACAAGTCCTCTTCACTAACTTTAGTCCCGTTATTTCCGGTCTAGGTCTGACCTCATCTACCGTTTATCCACTGTTCTTACAGTTTACAATAAACTGCAGTTCAGGTGTGCGTCACCCGTAGGGCTGAACCCGGCATTCGACTTACTCTTTCACGTGGCTGCTACGCTTTACAAAGTTAATTATAACTTTTGTTGGAAGTATACAGGCCAGGCGTTGGTCAAGGCTTAGATATCGCCGCAGATCGTCCTTCCTTGGTTAGACGGTTCATGCCGGACTCTTATGAACGACCGGACCAACAGGCTTACCACTCGAGCTTTAAGCCTCATCGACTTGCATACATAGGAGCACTGCTGGTGTTACTAGAAGCGATTTGATTATTCGAGGGATTATGACCTGGCTAAGTAAGTTTCTGCATTATGTCAAATGTTTGTGATTCTTCTTCCTATGACACCCTCCGGCATAAGAACCGTGATCAGACAAGATGTCTTGGCTGCAAAGGCGGCTCCCTCCTAATCCACGATCCACCTACCTCGCTACATGCATTAGGCATCGACCACTCCATCACAAAAGATTCGAAATGACCTATGGTTATGATGCTATCCCTTTTTATCTATAACCTTCCATTCACAATATCCCCTGCCCCCCTTCCCCCCGTTGTGGGTTTCTAACTTTAAAGGCTTGTATAAGGTAATCGTCATTCACATACATACATGCATAGTTCGTATTGGAATGTACCTATATAGTACCATGCATTTGTTTTTTAGTATTGTGGTGTAATGGCAGAAGGCTCTGTTAAAGCTTGGGACTTGGCGATTAGTTACCTTAGTCAGGCAGTCATGTCACCTCCTACCTTTTGCCGACACATCACTTACATTACTTACATCACTTACATCACTTACATCACTTGCTTAGACGAGTAGGTGATGTAGGAGGCAGTAAGGAAAGAGCTAGCTACTCTCATGATTTCATGGAGGAAGAGCGATACTGGAGCCAGCACTAAACTACTTAGAAATGGCTTGGTCCTTCTACTTGGGCAGATATGAGTTGGATGTCGTTTCGACGAAACATCATCTGATGTCCTCGTCATGTAACTTCCAAGTTTCCCTCTCTCTCGCCTTTTACCTACCACCCACACTCGTCTTCAAATCCCAAAACTCCATCAGTTACAACTACACAAGTCCCTATTACTCGGATAGTAGCAATCAATGCAACCTTCGCAATTCCGTTGAACTTGCTGCTAATGCTTCTACTGCTCATCTCTTCTCCCATAACCTATTTAAATAACTCGAAAGAAGACTTGGAACTGACCATCTAGTATCTAGGACCTACCCATCCTTTCACCGCCTCTTCGCCGTTGATCTGCACTGAACTCCCCCCAGCCCATTCAGCTATTTTCGGACCTTTACGCACTTTGGGCTCGGACCATTCGATCAGGTAGCGGCCGAGAGAATGATGGGACTGGAGCTGCAGAGTGTGCAGGTTACGCTGCATTATGTCTACCCCCTTGTAGTGTTCCTATACTTCGCCGTCACCTCAGCCATTGCGATCTGCACACTGCAGACTTCGGACTCGAAGAAGTCAACCCACGTTCGACGCAAGGTTATATATTGCCTTCTTTGTTGCTTTCTATGCACCTTTGTGGCTCAATTTATCCTCAAGATAATTGAGATTGTTACGTGGAGTCGATGGCCATCCCAGGACACAGTTATCGGCTTGCTATCTTGCATCCTAATCTTTGGAATCGAGCAGAATAGTCTCGGCGACGGGTCGGATACAGTTTGGTATCCCTTCTACGGATCGTGGCTTATCGCGTTTGTGTTGGAGCCTTTCAACGCTGCACTCCTATTCATCGCAGCCTCTGAGCCGATAGTGACGACCCCAACAACTGGTGACAACTCAGCAGCCTTCCTCCGACTGGACGCCTCTATCGTCATCGCTCGCTGCATTCTTGCCTTAGGCGCTCTTTTGGCTTATTTCGTCTGGCGAGAAGACGGAATCGACGATGATGATGATGACGAGGAACGGGCCCCTCTACTCCCAAAGCCAGGCCAACGAGCGAATGGTGTCGACACATCGGCGGATAGCGGCTATGGGACAAACTCGGAGGGTACAAATACGGATGCAACTAACACGGAGACGGCTAACTCGCCCAGAGACGTCGAATCACCATGGGAACGTCAGCAGCGTATTTCTCGAGAGAAGATTGAGAAGCGGCTGAAGAATGAGGGTAGCTGGATTGCGTATGCTAAGGGATTTCTCATTTTCTTTCCGTACATTTGGCCTGTCAAGAATCGTCGCCTGCAAATCTACGCTGCTCTCGTGGGCCTGTGCCTGCTGGCTGGAAATGTGCTCAATTTCCTAATTCCTCGGCAGTATGGCGCCGTTATGGATTCCTTGAGCGGTGTTTCTGACAGTAATCCTTGGGTTCAAGTCGCGATTTTTGCTGGGCTTCGACTTCTAGCCTCGGAGGCTGGAATTAACTTCTTGAGGCAGATGCTATGGCTACCTATCGAGCACTACTCTGGGGAAGCCCTCACAACCGCTGCGTATTCTCACATTATGAATCTTTCTTCCGAGTTCCATGATTCTAAGAGCTCATCGGATCTTATCGTAGCTATTTCGAATGGGACCTCTATTTCGAATATGTTGGACTCGATATGTTTCCAGGCATTGCCAATGCTAATTGACTTGGTCATTGCATTCACATACCTGTCGACAAAATTCGGGCCGTACGAAGGATTCATCACTATTGCAACTGGCACGGCGTTCATCCAAGCTGCCACTCATATCATCTCAAGCTTTAAGGAGAAAAGAAAGATGATGGTTAGGACGTAAGTGGCCCAATTTCTATGTTCCAGTAGCTCAGCCAAGACCTTCACCCCCGATCTTTGTTGAATTTCTTTTGCCTTTTTAGAAAATTAATTCTTGATGGACTCGGTTCTGATTCTTTTTCTTTAGGTATTTTGAGGAACATTATATCCGTCAGGCTGGTATTCAAGGCTGGCAGACCGTCAGTGCCTTCAACCAGATCCCATACGAAGAGAGACGTTACGGTGTGGCAGTTAACTCTCGCGTTTCGTCTACGAAATCCCTGTATTACAGCTACTTTGTTGGGCATGCCTTTCAGTACTTAATCCTTCTCGCAGGATTGCTCGCTGGAGCGTTCTTGGCTGTATACCAGATTACTAATGGCCAGGCTACTGCTGGTGACTTTGTCATGCTATTGACATATTGGGGTCAGCTCACATCACCTCTACGCTTTTTCTCTCAGCTCGGAAAGAACATCAGCCAGGATCTGGTGCATGCCGAAAGGCTTCTTGACGTAATGACGACGAAGCCAACCGTCATTGAGAAGCCCGATGCTAAACCCCTGAAGCTCAAGGGTGGTAAAGTCGAGTTCCGGAATGTCAGTTTCAGCTACGACAAGAAGAAGGACATCTTGAAGAGCGTGAAAGTGTCTGTTCCGTCTGGCACTACGGTGGCATTCGTTGGCGCAACGGGGGCTGGGAAGTCAACGATCCTGAAGCTCCTTGATCGCTTTTATGACGTGACAGGTGGCTCTATCCAAATCGATGGCCAGGATATTCGCGATGTGACGATCTCAAGGTATGGTCCATGTCTACTTTTTTCAATTCTTAAATGGATGTCTTCTGGGGTGGATTGTGTTTTATGTCCTCCTATCTCTTGATTTTGCCTCTACTAACGTTGCCTCGTACGTAGTCTACGACAGTCTATTGGTATTGTCCCGCAATCACCAATTCTTTTCGACGACACCGTGGTAAATAATATTAGATATGCACGGCTATCAGCTACAGACGAAGATGTCTATAGCGCTTGTAAAGCAGCGGCAATTCATGACCATATAATGGGCTTTACGGAGGGGTACAAGACTCGCGTCGGCGAGCGTGGTGTGTGAGTTGCAATTCAACCGACAGGCATTGGTTTTGTTAGCTAACAAACTTAGGAAACTATCCGGTGGCGAACTGCAGCGAATTGCGATCGCACGGGCTATCCTCAAGCAGCCCGAGATCGTGCTCCTCGACGAAGCGACTAGTTCTGTCGATACCGACACAGAACAGAAAATCCAGGACGGTCTTCGTACCCTATGCCAAGGTCGCACCACATTCATCGTAGCGTATGTTAACAACTAGCCGCTGGATACTGTGACGTTATACTGATTTTAATCTAGGCACCGTCTTTCAACCGTTATGAATGCTGATACTATCTTCGTCGTTGCGAATGGGGAGATAGCTGAACAAGGGAACCATGAAGAGTTGATTTCCAAGGGTGGCAAATACGCCGAGCTTTGGTCCAAACAAATTTTCCTCAAGCCCAAGGAATCAAAGGAGGATAAGCAAAATGGAGAACTTTCTAGCGATAGTGCGGCAACTTCAAGTGTCATACAGACGGATGGGTCCGTCGACGAGCCAGCAAATGGTGTCAGCGCCTCAAATGGTACCCAGGCACCGCGGCCGGTATCGACGGCCGAGAACTCTCCTATCGCAGGAAAGGCGAACGGGGAGGTTGTGAATACTCCAAATGGGCATCAAAAAGAGGTAGATCTGTCGAAAAATCATTCATGATTTTTTGATTGATACTAACCTCTAACAGGGTTCAAGGCTGAATCCTGGTGCGCCCGAGTTTACACCCCGTTCTACAGCCGAGCCAAATTTAAACAATACATCTCCTATGCGAAATAGCTGGGCCGAAGACGTCGAAGAGGCAGCTAGTTCCTCTGACAATACGCCACCGGCTGATTCCGAGTCCGCTTCTGTATCTACTGCGATAAGAGCTTGCGATGCGATCCCCCCGAGTAAAAATGATGATGCCGTTTCACCTGTCATATCTCCCGAGTCTGCCGCGCAATCAACAGTGTTCGACGCCCCCGACTCCAAGCCTCGTCGGAACACGCTTCAATCTGTGTCTTGTCCCGAGCCACCACCACTTTGTTTTTCAGATAGCCCGACTCGTTCTGTTAGCCAACCTATGCCCACACCTACAAAACCTTCTCGAAGGGAGAGCAAACTCCCACGGGAACAACACGAACATTCACCATCTCCTGAAGCCAAACAAAACCTACCAGGTCCCAGTAGGGGTAGAGGCGGTTACCGCGGCCGAACCCGCGGCCGCTACCGCGCTGGAAGGGGTCGAAGACGAGGTCCACCTAGCCCCAGGTCCGGCCACAAGGACGGCACAGAACCCTCGCAAAAGCGCGGAATTACTACATCTCGCGCAAAGTAAATCGGCATTGCAAACGGTACTTTTCGATGACGCATTATTTCTATTTTAATCTCCCCTTTGCCTACGGATATGCATCTCATTTTCTCGTGCGCATTTTTACGATTCCGATTATATGTATTGTTATGCATTTTTGCGGAAAAGGCTTTTCGCGTCGGAGACAAAGGGATGCAGAATGTTAATTACGGATGCTTTATATTGCGTGTTATTCGGTTCTGATTTATAAAATATCTAGTTATCGGTTGATCGCAGGAATACGGATGACGGAGGGCGAAAAGGGGGTGAGAAACAAAAAAACGGGCATGGTATTTTTTCTCCTTTCTTGATTTCTCGGTCGGTAGCATTCGAGGACTAAACAAAAAACATAAAAGCTATGTGTTTCGGGGCTGGGCATATTGTTGCTTGGAGGAGAAAACGAAGGGACACTACAGCATGGTACGGAGTCGAGGTGTACGGTGGAAGAACTTAGACGAGTACTGATTTATTTTACCCCTTTTTTCAACTGCTTCCCTCGTCCGAGATTATCAACTTGTCTCGTTATCATCACGCACGGTTCGCAGTGTACCATTAGGACCATTAGGACCTCAGTTAGCAGATGCGATGGATTATAAATAGTAAACCCTTATATTGCCATTTTTCGCCTTCTATTATTACCGTGAGTGCTCATCTGTTATAAGCAAAGTCTACTCGTGGTCTACGTAGCTTAAACCCGGCCATCCATCACCCTCATCCGTTCATTCACCAAAAGACCAAAAGGGTAAAACAGACAAATGTAAGAACCGTGACTGGTTATAGTTTCATATTCCCCCCGTCCAACCAACTTTGTTCCGATTTTTTCTCTCTCACAGCGCTACGCTACGCTCTTCGCATCATCTTGCCTGGAAACCCCTATACAACTCCGCTGAAGATGAATGAGACAGGATCTATCTCCAAGCAAAGTCGATCATCGGCCTGCGCCGCGCCCGGCACCGGGGTTGCTCCCATCATCGGCACCACCGCCGCCGCCGCCCATCATATTCCTCGCCATGTCGGCGATGTTAGGGTCGTTCATCAGAGAACCTAGGTCAGGCATACCGCCGCCGCTGGAGAAACGGTCGGCCATCTCGCGCAGACGCGGGTTGCTCATTAGGTTCTGCATCATGTCCGGGTTCGACATCAGGTTCTGCGCCATGCTCGCAAACATGGGGTTGCTCATGATGCTGCTGAGATCAGGGAGACCACCTCCACCACCACCGCTAGCTCCGTCGCGGTTTCCACCGCCGCCGCCGCCGCCGAAGAGGCTCGCTAGGCTGGCTAGGTCGGGGCCACCACCGCCGCCACCACCACCACGTGCTGTCGGTGCTGCGTCTGCGGTTTCGCCTTCCAGCTCGTCGACGCGTCTCTTTGCCGTCTCGAAACCTTTCTTCATGGCCTCGCTGCCGCCGTTGCCTTCGTGCTCGATTCCTTGTCGGTACGCTTCCATGGAACCCTTTGCGTCGCCGAGAGCGAACCGGGCTAGGCCGAGTCGCGACCAGGCTTTCGTGTACTTGGGGTCGATGCTGACGGCTTGTTCGGCGTCAGCGCGGGCGCTGGCGTGGTCGCGCGCGGCGCTGTAGGCGGCGGCACGGTTGGATAGGTAGATTGCGTTGCGGGGGTGTAGGGCTAGGGCCTGGGTGTACAGGTCGATGGCGGCGGGGTAGTCCTTGGACGCCATGGCGCGGTTGCCGCGGGCCTTGAGGTCCTCGGCGCGAGCCTTCTCGTCATCGGTAGGTTCCTTTGCCTTCTCGGAGGTACCGGCGGTATTTGAGGCGGGTTTGGCGGCTGAGGCGGTGGTGGTGGACTTGAGCTTCTCGTAGACGCCGTAGATCTGTAGAAGGTTCTGGGTGCCGGTGGCGGCGGAGACGGCGGCGGGGTCGGTGGGGTCGACTTTGAAGGATTCGCCGATGCAGTTGATGGCGACGTCGATGCTGTCTTTGTCCTCGGCTGAGAGGGTGCCGTCGGTTAGGGAGGTAGATAGGAAGTCGCAGATGGCGAGGGCCAGGCGTTGTTTTGTTGTTGTCGCCTGTTAGGGTGCGCAGGGAGGGTTAGTATTATGTTATATGCATGTATACGGCTTGGTAAGAAGTATATTGGGAAAAGGCGGGATAAGGTAGAGTAGGATAGGGTAGGATAGGAAAAGGGGAAGTATGATATTAGATGATATCAGTTCGTACCATGGTTGGTTTGGTTTGTTAAAGAATTCAACTGAGGGGTCAGCCAGTCGGTTGAGTCCCAAGCGAATGAGAAGAGAGGTTTCACTGGTAGTTAATGTATGGCCAAGCGAAAGAAAGGAAAGAAAATTAACTCCCTAATATCGTAGGTGAAGAGTTAGGTAGTATATAGGTGAGTCAAGTTGGCGGGCTGGAATGTTGATTAGATGCGACTTGCTTCTGTTCTCGAAATTTCGGCCTGATAGCTGCCTGCGAACTGCGAACTGCGAACTGCGAACTGCGAATGCGAAGGTGGGAGAGGCGGGACAGAAGACGCCTAAGACGGAAAGTGGGGGTTGGGTTGGGGCTGATTGGCGCTGGGCGGTGTGTGCGTATGTAGAGCTAAGAGGCTTAGCTTCACTGGTTAGGACGGCAGAATCTTTATCGATAACCATCCATAGTATTACTAGTTATTTAATTAACCATAAGTATTCACGCTTTGTGACTCTAATAAGCCACTTCTATCTCATGATATTTCAATGAGCAAATTGCTTAAATAATTATCGACTATTTAAACGTATATAAAATTACCTATCTTAGGTACTTAACTTACCTAGGTGTCTATTATACTCTTTACCTTAAAGTCTTCAATGACTCTTAACTCCTTGACTTGCCTGGGTAGGGAAATATACTACAGCTAGCCAACAGAAAGAGCTCATAATACCTTACTAAGCATCATTCAGCCCGTCTCTTCAAACGCACATGTAAGATAAATTGGTGTCGAGAAAACCACCTTCGGCACATTAAACGAAGAGACGATTACTAAATGAGCAGTAAGTAGGCCGAGTGGTAAACGGCTGAAAAGTTGTGCTAATGGAACCAGCTAAACCCGGACTCTAACCCGAGTTCATTCCAATTCGAGGCTGTGCCCAGCATGTTGTTGGTTGCAATTAAAACACGTCCAAAGTCTTCACTGGACTTGAAACCTAACTGCATAAGTCGAATGTGACCGTGACATGCGTACATTTGCCCAGCCCCCAAACAATAGCTAGGTAAGGTACCTATCCGATATTTCCTCTTAGGTGTGGTAGGAAAATTGTGTAATAACCAATGACCTAGGCAGTAATGTGATACGGAATATACGAAGAAGTAGAAAATCCTCCCGAATCTAGGTGCGCTACTCTTCCTCGCTTATTCAAACGGGTCAACGCAATGCGACCGTAGCCTCGGGAATATATCTGCTACCAATAAAATGTCGCATGCTAAAATTACCATTCATGTTGCACGCCTAACCTGGCAAAGCCTGATTAGGTCTTGTCGTGGTAGACCCCGAGGTTTTCGTGTAAGCGCGCGCTTCAAGTACCGACGAAACCACGGGCACGGTCCCGAGGATGGAGCGTAAGCTTCCCGGGCCGAAGACAAGCTGTCTGGCAATGCATCCGACCGATAGCCTGTATAAAGATGCATGGTATCCCTTGCATGTTTACAACTAAGCACTTGACTATATTGTGCTATACTCTTTCGATTCGACCTGCTACAACTTCCTTTAAATTACTTTCTGTTTATCACTTATACAGTAGAATTTATACTGCTAGAGACAATACAGATATACTAAAAAACATCATTTAATCATACGAAATACGTCTCCAGCCTTCTTAAATATGGCAAGTTCCAGTATCTCTAGGAAAGAAGCAGCACGCCGGCTCGTGCAAAGCATTTCCAAGCAGCATGGCTACCTCGGCGAGGAAGTTTATGCAACTATGACCGCAGACACTCGCCGTCAAGTTCAAGAAGCACTCCTTATGGCTCACACGCTGGTAGGAACCAGTGTCATAACGTACGAACTCCTTATTGCCGGAAATAGGAAGAGATACTGACATAACGCTACATTAGACTGGCAAAGAATCTCTATACTAAGGACGTTAGATGGATCTTCGAGCTCTTGCAAAATGCCGAGGATAACTGCTTCTCCCGAGCAGAATCTTCAGGCGTCGTGCCATACGTGTCTTTTGATGTGTATAAGGATCGAGTTGTCGTGGAATGCAACGAAGATGGCTTTACTGAAGCAAATCTAAGAGCGATATGTAAGATTGGAGCGAGTTCAAAGACAGGGGCTCAAGGATACATTGGCGAGAAAGGAATTGGCTTCAAGTCAGTCTTCAAGGCAGCATGGAAAGTCCACATTCAGTCTGGAGACTATTCATTCACATTTACTCACCGAAAAGGCGATTCCGGTATGGGAATGATATCTCCGGAATGGTGCAAACCGACAGAAGAGATACCGACGCCCTTGACTAGAATTACATTGTTTTTGCATCCCAACGATGTCCTAGGCACCGAAGATGCGCGACGACAAAACATCCTAAATCAGTTGAACGAGCTTCAGCCTACGATGCTCCTTTTCCTAAAGAAGCTAAAGCAAATCAAGGTGCACATATACGACGATGCTGGGACCGAGATATCATCCTCTTTACTTGAAATAAATCACGCCAAACAAGTCAGCAATCGCATACTCGAGAAGATTCATACCCAAGGCGGAAATACGACCCATACAACACAGAGATACCACATCGTGGAGTATATTGCACGTAATCTTCCTCATAATGAGAACAGAACGTACTCTCCCCAGGAAGCCGCATCGAAAGCATACAGCACTGCTCCGGTCGTCCTCGCATTTCCTCTCTCATATGATGATGAACCATTCATCGAACAACAGGAAGTCTTCGCATTTCTTCCAGTCCGCCGAGCGGGATTCAATGTGAGAAATACCCTGAGAACTTAATATGTATCAAATAAATCCAATACTAATGAGCTGGCTAGTTCCTAATCCATAGCGATTTCGTAACCCAAGCGAACCGAGAAGATATCGTGACCACCTCATCCCGAAATATTCAGCTATTAGATTCACTTGCAATGGCTTTCGTAGTTGCAATGAGATCGCTTTGCCTTCACCCGACCTTGAAGTATCAGTGGATGCGTTACCTTCCAAAGTTATCAGACTATCCATGGGACCCATTCTGGTTAAGGCTCGTTGATAAGATCAAAGCCCGTATTTCCGTTGAAGAGATCTTGATTTTGCGGGATTCAACGATCCAAAGACAGATATCGCAAGCAAGACGACTCACATGGGACACACTTGATCAACACGGAGATCCCCTATTTAAAGACCTCCCCGGCGACAAAGCCAGTTATATTTCATCTAATTACAAGACGAGCGACCTCGATATTCTCCAAGATTATGGACTCAAGAACATGGATCGACATGAGATTCTTAAGAGAGTATCGAGAGATTTGTCTAGTAATACGTCCAGGATGCGATCCACGGGGACCGATTCTGATTGGCACGCTCGTGCAGCCCGATGTTTAAGTCTATTCTTTAAAGACGGATTGCCGAGCACGATAATGCGAACTAAGTTGTTACAACTGATCCCCCTAATCGACGAGAAATGGGTTAGTTCAAGGGAAGTTGATGTGCATTTTGCAACTACGATAAACGGACTCGCAATCCCGGATGATATCGGGTTTAACCTCATAGACCCCGCCGCAACAACAATATCTGAAAGGAAACAGTTGTTCCTTCATCTCGATGCAAAGTTTGCTTCAGTGCGCCATGTCCGTGTCAAAGTCTTCAACGAATATCGGAGTAAGGATGTTTCAGGGATAAACTACCAAGCTTCACTCTCTCATCTCAAATTCCTCTATCTAACACACAAACAAGATTCCACGTACGATAAGTTAGAGGATTATGAGGATTTGTGGCTATGTGATGATCGCGGGTCTCTGTATCCATTGAAATCACATGTGTCTTACTCGGACAAGGGATTCTGGGAACTAATCTCCAAGGCCGACAAGTCTCCAAAGTGGGAGATTCGTTTTATAAATAGAAAATATTTCGAAGACGACCCAGGAAAATCAACGGAACATGATCTGACGTGGAGAGAATGGCTCGAAACATGCCTTAAGGTTCGCAATTACTCAAGACTATTCAATCATTCCGGGGACATGCTTTCAAACGAGTGTATGTTCGTCGCCGAGCACCTACCTTCAGAGCTTCTGAATCTCTTGAAACAAAGTTGGGATTTAGAAAAGTCCCGTGTGACACCCAAACTGACAGAAGACCTGGAAGAGCTGCAGGTACCATGCCAAGGTGGTCATCTAAAAGACCTTTCAGAAACATATTTCCCTCTACCGGTATTATTGAAAAGGCGTGACGAGTTCATGCGAGAGGGAGAGTTTTTTCCTTTCCTTCATATCGACGATGACTCAGACCCGCTGTCTCATTGGGACTTCTTACGCGCTTTTGGGGTGAAGTTTAGCACCAGTATAAAGTTCTATCTTGACATTCTCTCTTGCATAAGTGTTTCCAACGTTTCTGCGAGCGATTTTGTTGACCCTTTGCGCGTTTTGCGTCTATATTTACGCCTTGATGCAGAGTGCTTAGACTCACAAGGCAAAGAAATACAAGAAACGAAACAGGCTCAGATACGGTATGTATGCATTATTTCTTAGGCTAGAACTGGGTTCATATCAGGTAGACTAACTACTAAACTAGTGAGTTTCTCGAGGAGCATCGAGCTTTGTTTATACCTGCTTGGGAGCAGCGTAAGTCGACTTGGGTTATTCCCAGTAAATGTCTACTCAATGGGCCAATGGGTATGGAGACCGTCTTTCCAGTCCTCCCGATATATGATGCACAATTCAAGGGTTCCGTTCCGGGATTCCCTAACTTCAAAACATTCCTCCAGGAAACCCTCAAAATCCCGAAGTGCTCATGGAATCATATTGTGGAAGAGCTCAAGCATGTCAAAGAATCGAATCCCCCGGGGCCCGTTGATAGAATTCGAGAATTATACTCGGAATTAGGTACTATGAAACTATCTAGTGCTGCATTAAACGAAATGAGGTAATATTAGATAACCGAAATACATGTTAAACATATGTTAACTATGCTAACCATATTATCTATAGAAACGCATTCAAAAACAATGCTTTGATTTTTGCGGATGTCGGTCCCCATAAGTGGTATATCCCATCGCAGTGTCTATGGTGTACCTCATCAGCAATTCGAGGTAAGGTAAACTTGAGAAATGTATATGACGGGAATCTCGAGAGCTTTTTCGTCGAAAAGCTAGCTGTACGTGGGCTAGACGCCGATATTATCTACAACGAATTGTTGGAACTGGATCCGGAAGAGGCCACGACGGAGCACGTTAAAGATCTCCTTTGGACTTTTAACTCATATATCGAGCTCGAACACTTCGATACTTCTCCCGAGAAGTTACTAGAACGTCGAATCTTACCGGTTAGGGATGCTGGTGGCAACATAGCCTTGCATTCGGCGGAGACGGGCTTTGGCATTATCGATCGCAAGAAACTTGGTGATATTTTCTACGACAAAGTCAAAATTCTCGATTTCACCGTGAACGAAATTGTTAGACTCAAACCTCTGATAAAGTGGGCGGGCCTCGAGGATAGGTATCTATCACGACTAGTCCAGGAGACGTCTGTTTTGGATTCAGGCTTAAAAATGCCAATATCAGACCCAATCCAAGACATCAGGAAAAAGGCATATGAGCTACTTCGGTAAGTCGACTCATCTCTAAGATTATAGGAGTTTCTGCTAATAAATTGCTTTCGTAGCATCGCAACTCATTTCAGGAGCCCTCGGATTGAAGGTGATGGCCAAGCGTTATACGATCTGCTCCGCAATTCACGCACGTGGGAGACACCGGAAATATCAACAAAACTAGTACTCACCATAGGCGGACAGACTGTGAGCCAAGATGTCGACCGTGGCATGATCCATATCGACGATAAAGATGGCTTAGAAATATACGTCCCGCGTGACGAAGACTTGCGAGATAAATCCTACCTCTCTACTCTTCCCGATCGCTTAATGAAGTGGATGATGACCGATCCCGGGACAAACTCCAAGGGGGATATTGACTCTAGTGCGTCGTTATTAATTCAAGGCGTCTTGACGATGAAGCCTAGACAAGTTGATCATTATCTTACCGGATATGGCATTATTGAAGTTACCATACCAAAGCAGGACGATCAAGAAGATATCATCACTAATCAAACCACACCGACCCTTGCTTCTACACCCACGCTCGTCGAACCTTCTACCCCTCGAATACTACGCCCGCCTCCCTCAGAGCCGGCAACGCCCCTTTTCGACAGCGAATCACCGCATGAGGATCCAGAGACACCGGCAACAGATTACACATATTATTCTACACCTGGGACAAGTTCAGGTAGATACCGCTCTTCATCCGCACGAACGAGTCCTTCGCCAGATCCATTCATGACGACTATCGCAGAAAGACAGAGAAAGGCAACTCAAGAGTATTGTGCTCTTCTATCACAAGTGATACGGATGGCTAGGAGAAGCCGACTCCTCTCGGAAGCAATGGATCTTTCGGTGCTCTTAGATGTTATGACTGGCAATAATACCATCGACAGCACGATCTTCAACGAACATGATCTATTTGATCCTCAATTGGGTATGCCCCGGTTCGAGCGTGACAAGAAAGTAGGAGCCGCGGGGGAACTCTTCGTAAGTGTTCCCATAACCCCTATCAAACCGAGAATGGTATTAACGATATCCTAGGTCTACGAGCTTCTCTCCTCAATGAACCCGGCTCTCAGAGGGTTTACCAGGGCTAATTGGACAAGTACTATTCGGAAATTCGTCACAGTGCACCCGGAATACGCGGATATGGGCGGCTGGTCCGGAATTGAAACGTCTGACCTCGAGTACCAAGACTATAGCAGTAAACTAACAGCAATTCTCATAAGTAAGGGTCTTCTCTCGAGTAGTTGGCGAGGCTCACGACCCAAATATTATATTGAAGTGAAGACTACTCCAGGGGGGCGAGATACCCCCTTTTTTATGTCGGATGCTCAATACCACAAGGTAAATAATCTCCTCCTCCAGTCCGACTATTGCATAAGCTAAATCACGTATTCTTCTAGATGGCCAGGCTTTCCACGGAAGATTCGATATATGTTATCTTCCGAGTTTCCGAACTATACAGCGGCCGCATTACCCTTGACATCTACGTCGATCCGATCCAGCTTGCTGATGAGGGGCGGCTGGTGTTCTCGGCTGATAGATGGACGGTGAGGCCGGTGTTTGGACTTGCGTGGGAAACTCCCGAGTTCGACTGAACTTTTCCTAGGTTATTGTATAAAGAATACGGTCTTTGTGTAAGAAGTAGGTAAAACTGGAACTATCATTACACTACCCCACGGGGTAACCTATAACTTGTAGATGTAGCCAAAGCTAGGATTCTGGAGGGATGGTTTCATTTTGGTATAACTTCAAACTTGCACTGTAGTCGAAGACTGTAGATTTTGAAAGCTTACAATTACAAAACCAAATTACCCAAGTTAAAGGTATCATGTTATATGTTGGCATTAATTCGGCTTGGCGCTTCTACTCTGGTGTAGCATAGCATTGATCTGCTCTTGTGGGACCGTGTAAAAGATATTGACCTAATTTCCTTGGCGAAGAACAATCCTTCGAATGACACCTAAGCTAGTGCTTTTCTATTTCTTCATTAAAGGTCTTAGAACGCGCATAGTATGTGGCATTGATTACGATAGTTTATTCTAGTTGGTTGGGACCCGATTGTTCATAAGCATGTAGTGTATACTCCTGAGCCCCTTTGTATAACAGGTGTTATTAGTGAACCCTTTTACGAGATGCTTCTTCCTCAAGACGACCAAACAAAAAATACGAAATCAACTGCTCTGAGGGCCAGGAAATTCTGCTGCCCCTTTAACAACGGATCCCGGAGATATTATCTAGTAATTGACCAAGATGTCTGACGTCTATACCGATAATATGACCCGCAATGATAGCGAGGTCCAAAGGTGCGCACCAAATACAGATTTACCTATAGTAGCTTCTTTCACCCACATAGTAATATTGGATATCTACTCCATCCTGCTGTTGTCGCCAGCCTGCCTCCAAAGCCACGAATTGCAGATATAGGGACCGGGACCGGCAAGTTCCTATTACTTCTCCGAGAACAATATCCCGATGCCATCCTCGATGGTTACGACATATCCCCAAAGCTCTACCCTCAAGAGAACACGCTCCTACCAAATGTATCTCTTGGTGTACTAGATATTAAACAGCCTGCTCCAAAGGAACTTCACGGAAAATACGACGTGGGGTCGCGCAGGAGCAAATAGGTTGAATTATCGCCGTGTCAGAGAACCCGACAGGACTACAGCTCCGAATCCTCGACTTACTTCAAGAACATTCCAATTACATATGGGTTAGAGACCTAGGTAATCTTCTAAGATACCGCACCGCAGATCAGCTCTATGTCGCCAAGCTCCCAGACGAAACCTGTGCTCTGCGATTCCCAAGTCGCCCAATTAAACGCGGCAATGCCATTCGTTCTAGCTCCTCGAAACGAGCTTACAGGAACCACGATCCTCTGGGGCTCGCCAGTGAAGTTCGTAACATATCGCCATGTACTATTATACGCCTCTGCTGAACAGTTCTCCATCGTCTGCATCTCGAGCGTGATAGATGCGTTCTGGGTTCTGGGGAGCTTTCATAGTAAATGCGATCGCCTCGTACCCGGACGCCTCTGCGTCGACACAGGGCACGATCTCATAGAAGTAGGACATTGGCCGGGGTGTAAATGAGATAGAATCACCGAGAACGGAAATTGATGTGATAGAACCATCATCTATTAAGTATTAGCTACAGTGGCTATAGGTTTCATAGCTACATCGTTTGGCGGTCATGAATTTCTTACCGCTTGCCTTTAGTCCAAGGTTATTTCTCTTATTGGAAAACCGCGAGAAGTCGTCAACTAGGAGATTTGAGGAGCAGATTACAGCTGCAGCTTTAGAAATGCGTAGTCCTATAGCCAGGTGGTGAAGAACGCGCCGCGGGTGCATTTTGTTCGATGGCGCAAGAACTTAGTGAAGATAGGGGCGTTAAAGGGGGAGAAGAAATAGGTATCAAAGGACGAATATTTGTGTCAAGTATAGTCGAGAAACTGTCGGGAAATACAGGTTCAAAATGTCCTCTGCAATCAACAATAATTAAGTATATTATGGTTCAAAGCGTCCCAACAATTATCCGGGACCGAGCTACTGTTTATAGGCCTCCAAGGGGCAAATGCTCGAAAATAAACTTCGGAAACTATCATTGCTTATTACGAACCGTTGAAAAGGAGCTAACTCGGGGGAAACGAGAGGCTTTGATCTCCTAAAAATATGGGCTTTGTATTAAGTACCGAAAGTTTTCAGATGCAACTATGCTTGAAGAACAAGACTACCGTACCGTATCAATCCTTATGCAAGTGAAATATGTAGCTACCAATAAGCAAAACCAACTCCAGAATGCTATGCTCGATCGTCAACTAATGCAAAGTAAGCCTCCATGATTCGCCGTTGCCATTCCGTCCAAATTGCTTCGTCATTTTTCAAGGGTTTCGGATGTTGGGGATGAATTCTTCATCGTCAGACTCGTTGAAACCGATCGCTCGCTCATTCTGTTCACGGAAACGTCGTACACGCTCCTCGCGCTCCTCGCGTTCCTTACGCTCCCTATATTCCTTAAGCTCCTTGAGTTCCTGAATACCAAACTTCCATTAGTCACATGTAGTTAAACGGTAAGTGTTATCTAGAGGGGATTCTTACCTTTTCATTGAAGTGAGGATGAGCGCCTTTAAGAGGACCTTGAGAGGGGCCTGGATACTGGCCCTGATACTGGCCTTGGACTGAAACATGACCATGAGCGGGTCCCAATTGGAACTGAGGTTGTTGGTACTGCATCTGAGGAACGCGTACGTTGTGAGCGTGGCTCGTAGCTGTCTGAAAGACGTAATCTTGAGCTTGTCGGTTGAGAGCTTCAAGGCCGGCTCTATCTAGGGTATGAACATCGTTCGCGGGGGTCTGGGGGGCTGCGCCGCCAGGGCCAGGATGATGGGCTCCAGGAGGACCAGTCGGATCATGGGTGCCGTGGATGAAGTAGTTGTTCGGATGGTAGTAACGGACACAATGAACACAGCCGCATCCATAGTAGTGGTGATATTGATGAGGTACGGCGGCTGCCTCCTCTTCGTTTGCGGGCTGCTGGGACGGCTCCGGAAGTGCTACATATGATGATTGTGTTAGATGATATTCCCAAAATAATCACGAAGATAATTTACTAAAGGACGTGTGGAGGATGTTGCCAGTAGCCAGCATGGATCACCAAAGAAAGGAGGACTTACCCGAGTAAAAGGCAGCGTCATAGGGACCTGTGCCACCTCTGAAGTAGAAGATAGGAGAATCTATTCCGGGTGTTGGGATAGGATTGCCTCGAAAGGTAGGAGGATCCCGAGGTCCGGGAGCTCCAGAAGGTCCAGTAGGTCCAGTTGGTCCAATAGGTCCAGTAGGTTTAATAGGTTCATGTTATGAGCAGCCTTTGGTATGTGACCATTACGGAAAAATAGGTAACTAATTGGTAAATAGTTTATAATATATATATAATTTTTAATGTTATTAACGCCTACCTTTTTCTAAATCTATAAAAAAATTAAGGTTCTTTTATATATAACATAATAAATAATTAACTAATAAATAGTTTTAGTTTAAATTTTAAAACCTTTATCACGTTATATACTTATTATAATCTTTATTATTTAATAAAATTACCTCTTTTAACATACTCTTATCCTTAAAAACTATATACAATAATAAGGTAATTGGTAATATGCCGGTTAATTATTATAATTAAAATATTTTTATTTATAAAGATAATTAATTTTATAAATTTGTAAATATATTTTTAAAATTTTTAAAATAAATATCTTTTTAATTATTTTTTTAATTTTAATAATATAATAATAATAATAATAAAAATTACGCTATTGTTATTTTTTTAATACTTTACCGTTTTATATTATATTATTATTACCTTTCAGCATTATCCTTTTAAAAAAATTAAAAAAAATTGCCGTTTATTTAATATAAAAATAATAATTATATATACATTATTATTTTTTAACCGATATAATATTAATAATTTTAATTAATTTTATTAAATATAAAATTTACAAAAAATAAAATAAATTTTATATTTCTATAAATTATTATTAATATTTTAATGTATATTAATGGTTAAATGGCCAATAATTTATTAAAACGTTTAAAATAAAAGCCATAAATTTTACTATTTTTTTAAACAAATGTAATAGTGAATTTAACGTAAACTTAATTATTATATCTTTTTTTTATATTATATTAACTTATAGTTAAAATGTTGTTAAAAAAACGTAAGTTAATATTAAAAAAATCTTATAAGTTAAAAAAACGCAAACCAATTTACCTACTTATAAAACTGTTAAAACTGCTAAAGCCGAAACAATTAAACTAAAAAAACGCCGTTATTTTACCTTAAAACGTAATGTTAAAATTGTTGAAAAAATTGTTGTTACTGTTAAAAAATAATTAATTTACTAGCAAGATATTTTTATTGCTATTTTATTTTTTATTAAATTATATAAAAAAATTATAAATATTATTTTTTTAACCGTTAATTAATTGTTAATACGTTATAAAACCGTAATACTTTAATAGCAAAAAGTAATATAAATAAAAATAAAGATATAATTAATAATGGAAACGATAAATAATCGAACCGGTTTTTATCTAATAAATAGCTATTTGCTGTTAATTACGTATAAATACCTTATGTTTTTATTTAATTTTAACTATTATTTTACCGGCATTTAACCAATACCTTACAGTAGTTTTGTTAAATTAATAAATAAATTATTTTATATGTTTTAAATGGTTTTTATAATTTTTTCTTAATTTTTTTATTACGTTTTCACACCTTTGCCACAAATTTTCATTATTGTTATACCTTTACCACTTAATTAAGTATTATCTATTCTTACTTATATCCTTATAGGTTAGGATAGCTTTAACCTTATAAATTTTATTTTCCTTGATAAAATTTACCATTTGTTTTTTTGGTATTTTATTTGCCTGGTTATAAAACGGTTTTAAAAAATTAATTAAAAATATATTATATATTTTATAATTAGTTGGTAAATTTAATTTATAAACCATATTATTTTCTTTAATTATATTAATTATTTTAAATAATTTTAAATATTTATTTGTTAATTTTTTACTTGGTTTTTATTAATTAATATATTTAATTAATAATAAAATTTAATCGTTTAATTTATAAGTGGCAATTGTTTTCTTTTTATTGTATTATTTAACGTATGTTTAATTTGTTATTTGTAAAAACTGGTTAATTTGTTACTTATTTTTTTGTATTTTTTCTAATCTTTTTAAAGCTTTTATTGTTATTTTAATTAAAAGTTTATTAGTTAAATTGTTAAAACCTTATAATTGGAAATTTATTAATACATATACTAGTATTATATTATATGTTATATATATTAAGGTATTATATATCCATTTTATCAATGTTAATTTTTTTACTTAATTATTTTAAACTAGGTTGTAATAAATATATAAATAATATTTTAAGTTTTAATTTTACTTTTTTATTTACTTATTTATTTACAAATAAAATGCAATATTTAATTTTTTTTCGATATAAAATCGGTGGTATAAAGTAATTTAAAATTTACTTATAAATAACAAACTTTTATTTAATACGATACCTTTTAATAATCTTAATCTTGGAAATATTTTTTAAAAAAATAAATTTATTAGCTTTAACGCTATTAAGTTTTTGATTGTTAAAATATATATAAAGTATTTTAAATATTTATCCATTACAATTAAAATATTATCATAACGCTTTCCATTTTTAATTAATGATTTAAATAATTTTATTATAAAATTTATTGATAATTATTTTATTAAACCAATTAAAACAAATAATAAATAAAATTTACTATAAAAAAAATGGTATTTTGTTTTTATACGTTAATAAATAATGCACGACTTAACATAATATTTTACGTTTTTTTATAAGTTTTACCAGAAATAACATTTAATTAACTGTTAAATCGTTTTAAAAATTCTTGGATACCTTATAATAAATATATCATAATAATCATGTAATAATTTTTTTTATAAGTTTTAAAATATATATATTTTATTTTTATACTTTAATATACTTTAATCATTTGTTTTTCATACAATTAATTTATTAGTTTAAAAAGTTTCTTTCCATTTTTTTATAATAATAAATTTATTTTATCGTTACGCTATTATAATTGCTTTACGTAAAAACTTTTTATTTATATTTTTATTAACAAGTTCCATTTAACATATTATTACCACATTACCCGTTAACATTATATAATAATTACCGTTACTCTTTATTCCATTACGTTTTAACAACGGCTTTAAAGCTTTTTTCATTATATTCTTTTTAATTTCATTATTAAAATAAAATATAAATTACACTTAAATATCACGCTTTACTTTTAACTTTACAATTAAATTTTAATGATTTAAACGTTTTAATAATTTATTTACCAGATTTAAATATTTTATTTAATATTTAATTTCGAAATTAAAACTAAATAACTGTTTTAACTAACAAATTTATCTGGCATTTGGTTTTTCCTTGGTCATTAAATATTGATAATTTAAATGATTTATTAACATTACCATCTTTTACAAAGTATAAACTAAGTAATATCTCCATTATTTAAAGGTATATAATATTACCATTAATTTTACATTAAAGGTTAAATAATATAACTTTATTCCTTTTAATTTATATAACAAAAAGACTACCGGATATTACACATCTCTATATAATTACGTAAAAACTGCCCTTATTGCATTTTATAAAACGTCCGTTTCCACTTTAATAGCTCGTTACAAATCGAAATGTTTAAATAATGGTATATAAATAAACAAATATTAAAGTTTTTTAAAAGTTAATAAACTATTACCTTGTAATAAAA